AAACCCCATACTTGTACCAAAAGCTATTCATAATTCCCAGAACACACTCATAAGATTTAAGACTCCCTATATAACACACCACACACACATAATTCCAATCACATCAAAATTTCACTCCTCAACCCCTTAATATCAGAAACAGAAGGGAGAGGTTTTAGCATTGCATTTTACAATAAATCATCAATATCATGATTAAATTAATATTACAATACTTGCACTAGTATTTTAGCCCTATCAACATTTACAATTTATCATAAACAACAATATAGTGCAAGTGTAAACAAAATATATCCTAATTGGTAATATACTTATTCATTACACAAATTAAAGAAGAGGCTTTACAATAGGAATCCTAGATTCCTAAGCCTCTAAAAGCTTTTTCCTTTCCATACCGAAGTTAGAGCCTATAAAATGTTGAAAGAGAGGGGTGAATCTAGCCACTCATTAACTAAAGTACACCTACCCTTTGCAGCTATATATCAATTGAATAAACATACACAAAAGGAGTTGATTTTCTCAAAATATACGTACTATCACAAGCAACACAAATTGTCATTTCCTAATTTAACTCATTTTCATAATTCTCATATTAATCATATGGTACAATGCCACAAGACAAATAGACATGTGAGAATGACCCAAATTATTATCATGACTTGCCATAAACTTGAACAACCATGTGACATGTTGGATAAATTCATATGCATGATCAAGCCATCCTTATATCCCCCTTATTTCCTTTGAGTGAAATCGTATGCTATAATATCAAATAGGGCTCTGTTCATGTGACGAGACTACCCAAGTTTACCAATTGTGAGGTGTGACTTAGCCAAAGATCACAAAACTTACTTTCGGATCACGGTTTCCCTCACTCTCGAATCTTTAGGGTGTAGTATACCGTAAGTTAATCTCCTCAATAATCAAGTGGAGATGCTTAGGTTCAAGCCCTTTGACAAATTATGGGACAGTCTTTCGATAAATTGTGGGACAAGGTTATACCCTCATACACTAGAAGATAGCTAAAAATATTATATGAATTTTAACTACTCATCCTCCTAGATGAATTCTCACTAACTGATCATGTTATGTACGATGCTCACTCGTTTCACAATTCTATTTATTCATTATTAGCACATTGAACTCACAATAATATGTTACCCAAATAAGAATCTATAATGTTTTCTCAACCATTCTTCACTTTACTGAGTCATCAATTTTCTTCATCAATAAAACAATCATCACATCACATCATATCACACTTCTTCTCCTAAAATACATGCATGTTCATAGTTTTGAAAATCATTTTGACTTCAATTCCACATTTCAAGTCAAAATTAGACATTATGTACATTCACAATTCAAACAATTATCAAGGCTCATTACATGCTTTCACATTCAAAGTCAAATCATACATGCCAACATGCACATTTCGTAATTAATGATCAATTAACAAACAACTACTTAAAGTAGGGCTTCCCTAGTTACTTCAAACTTTTGAGATGTTAAAATTTTATTCTTTAATACTTAGCTCTCAAGCTTGATTCCCAAGCTAAATATGGTGCCCAAATGCTTAAATTTACAATTAATAAATTCTAACTCATTAACATTGTCAAGAACACAATTCTACTTTCACATTTTCACTTCAAAAATACCCAACATCCTTATTTCTCGCCTATGGACTTATCTATTGGGTTCATTAACTCTCCTTAGCTTCTAATAACTTCATTAAACTCTCACATTGTCATTTGTGGCTTCCCAACTAACTATATCTACCATAATGAATGGCATTTTTGGCTATTAATGACCCCATAACTACCAAAACATGTAAACTCTTTAACTCTTGGTTTAAATACCTCAAATAGTTTCTATTAACTCCATTTGAATTAATGAGTTTGGATCTATAACCTATATGGACAGAAAATCATTTCTCATTATCAAATCCTAACCAAAAGCTTCAAGAAAAATGAAAGAGAGAAGGAGATTAGGGCTTGGGGAACTCACCTCAAGTGGTTACTAGCTCTAAAACTGTTAATATGGCAAACCTTAGCAGACCTTTGTTGCTTGCCCTTCATTTTCTCTCATTTATCCTTTTGATTTTTTGTTTGTTCGTGAGTTTCTTTATTAGAAAATTTGGCTAGTGTGCATCGTGACGCATGGCACAAAAATTCACTTTTCCTTCAGTTGTTATCTGTGCACCATAGCGGATGTGCTACATGCCATAGCATGTGGCACAGAAATAATCCTTCACGTTTTTCTCCTTCTTTGATGCCTGGGTGGCTCATCTTCATTTCGTATCCATAATTAGGGCTGAAATCACAACCGATTACATTTATTAGACCTCTTTAGCTGCACACCACATTAAATCACTCAATCACCATAATTAAACTTAATTGATTCCTCAGTAATCCAATGATTAAAATTTGGGATGTTATAACTCTCCCCTCTTTTTAAGAATTTGGTCGCTAAAATTCAAGTATTCTAACAAAACCAGTAAAACCATACCTCATGGAAAAAGTTGAGGATACTATTGCTTTATGTTCTCCTTGATTTCCAACATAGCATCTTCAAGTGTCATACCCTTTCATATAATCTTTACAAGCCTAATTGTTTCTCTTTGACATCGACAATTCTCTCTAGCTCAGCTTGATATGTCAGATTCTATTACATGTGAGGGGTCAAGGTAGTACTTCTTTAATTGTGAGACATGAAAAACATCATGTACACTCGACAAGCAAAGAGGTAAGGCAATTTGGTATGTTAAAGGCCCTATTCTTTTAAGAATCTCAAATGGCCCAACATATCTAACAGTCAATTTCTTTACATGAATGGACCTCCCAATCCTGATCATGGGTGTGACCTTCAGAAACACATGGTCACCCATCATAAATTCTAATGGTCTCTTCCTCTTATTTGCATAATTCTTCTATCAACTTTGATCAGTCAATAGTTTCTTACAGATAGTATCAATCTTCTCAGTGGCCTAATCTGTGACTCATTATGCTTCTCTCACTCAACCCAATCCAACAAAGAGGCTATCTACACTTTCTACCATACAAAGCCTCATAAGGAAGGTCAAAGATAACTAGAATGGAAAGTCGAAAAAGAGAACAGAGATGAACATAGAGTTGAAAAGCAAACATACTTAGCAATCATGAAGAAGATGATAATCAAAAAGCAAATGGTGAGAAAGAATGCACAAACCAAAAAGCCCAAACAAGATGATAAGCAAATATAGCATGAAGGTTGATCTCCTCCTCCTCCACACTCAATAAAAAAAACAATGCGATCTACCCTAGACGAAGACGAGCGCTAAGTCAGCCAAACTTTTTTAAGAATCCAACTAGGCAAAGTTGATCTACATGACATCATTAATCCAAGTAGATGATGGTGATTAAGCACTTCGTTATCCAAATCAAACTTTTTTATTTGTGTTAATGGGTCAAGGGCTATCAGACGTAACATGTGAGACTATAAGGGTTTAATTTCGACAAATAAAATTATAAGAGCCTGACTAAAAATTGACGCAAATTAAGAGGGTTCGCAGATGTATTTTGCCTTTAGTTTTTAGAGACTTGTTTGGCATTTTGATCTTTGATAAAATGACATAATTGCCCTCAATAATTATTATGCGTTAAATAATGACTATTTTGGTTGTCATTAACAAAAATACGATTGAGAATAACTACTCTTTCACGTATAATAGAGAATGACTATGTTTTTTTTTTTTTTGTAAATTTTGTTTATTAGTCAAGTGTGAATATTAAAAATCAATATCTATTATATGTTAAAAATGAATACTTATAATTAGATTATTGACTAAAATGAAGTAAAAAATGACTTCTTTTTTTTTTTAGAAATATGTGACTTGTAAATAGATTAAAATAATAACTATCTTTCTCAAAATAGTTATTTTAACTGTATTTGATTGATAAGTAAATTTACAAAAAAATAAATAGTCATTTTCTATTATGTTTTAGTCAATAATCCAACTGAAATAATCATTTCCCAACGTATAATATTCATTGAAGACAAATCTATAAATTGTCAAAAGATTAAAATACTAGACAAGTTCTTAGGAACTAAATAATAATTATCAAATTTTGCAATATTTAGGGCTTATTTTTTTTAATTTAATTTATAAAAAATCACTTATTTTTTAAATAAAATTTATTTTTTAAGTTTTTTATATTTATTTAAAATTTTAAAAATAATTAAAATTTGAAAATTTTTTTTCAATTGTTTTAAGTAATTTTTAAAAATAATTTGATATAGGAAATGAATGAAATATTTTAAAAACGCAAAATGTATGAAAATATCATAAAATTTTAAAATTATTAAATAATAAATAATTTTATAAAAAGGTGTTAAAAATTTAAAAATAACTAGTTAATAATTATTTTTTATATTTAGTTTATATAAAATCTTTAAATCATATAAAAATTATTTATTTTTATAATTTTAAGTAAATTACTCGTTAATTATCATTTACGTATTGTTTTGTCATTTTCTTAAATAATTATGCTTCCATAATTTTTTTCTTTTATTTTATTTTTGAAAAAATTAATCTTTTTAACCTTTTAATTTTTATCTTACTCATAACTCAATTTTTTAATTCTGACTCATTACAAGCAACTTAATCTTTTAATTATGACTTACCGTGACTTAATACATTAATTTTTAATTTATTTATAACTCAATTTTTATTTTTTAATTTTTTTAAAAATTATCTTTATCAAATAATAAGAATAAAAAAATATTTATATGTTACTTTAAAATACTTTTTTTGCTTTTTAATGTGTAATCTAAATTAATATAAGAAAAAAATTAATAAAAATTATAAAATTAAATTATTAGTGAATTAAAAGTTGAGAGAGTGAATTATAATAAATTATAATTAAAAAATTAAATTATAAATAAATTAAAAATTGAATAGAGTAAAAAATTAATTTTAAATTGTTTTTCAATGGACGAAAACGTTTCCGTAACCCTAAAACCAACGATAACATTTGACGGCAGGCACCAGAACTCCAGAAGCTCCTTTCCCCGACATCTCTCTCGTTCACTGAGTGTGGTGACTGGCGAGGCTAATAGAAGGAGAGCTTCATAGATGGCGGGAGGGAAGATCAAGAAGGAGAAGGGAAAGCCACAGCAACACACGCCTTACCAAGGAGGCATATCCTTCCACAAATCCAAGGGTCAGCATATCCTCAAGAACCCCTTACTCGTTGATGCTATAGTCCAGAAATCTGGCATCAAAAGCACTGATGTCATCCTTGAGATAGGTCCCGGTACGGGCAATCTCACCAAGAAGCTTCTGGAAGCCGGCAAGATGGTTATCGCTGTCGAGATTGACCCGCGCATGGTTCTCGAGCTTCAAAGACGTTTCCAAGGCACTCCTTACTCCAACCGCCTCAAGGTTAGCCTTTGTTTCGGGCATCGGGATGAAATTTTCTGGGTCTTCTGGATCCATCTGAGTCGATAAAATATTAGACTTTATTTTAATTTTAGTGTAATTTATATTATTGACATTATTGAATCATACATCTTAAGATTTATCTTAATCACCGAGCTAAGTTACTGTTGCTGTTAAGATTTCTATTTATGCTGTTATTCAGTTAATTGTTCATGCTTATCGGAGTTGTTCTGAGACTGCAAGTTACTAGAGACTGTAGAAAGGCAAGAACGAATTTAGAACATCTTTATAAATTATACCACCATTAAAATTTAGGTTTTTTAGTGAGTATAAATAGTAATGTTTTTCATGACTCTTTAGAAGAAATTTGATTTTTAAGGTTTATAATTGTCAATAATATGTTGTGCGTTCTTCCTGGCTATTTTTTCCTGAATGATATGGTTGTAGGTTTCCAACTTTTAGCTTTCTTGTTTGAAAGTTAGCGTTTGAATCGCTAGAAATCTAAAAGTGGCTCATAGTTTAGTGGAGAAACACTGGATACCATGTTGACAGTTATATGTCTTGGAACCCAAATTTAAAGTATTCAAGGTTGTTAATTATTAATGTGGTTAAACTACTCTTTTAGTCCTCATATTTCACTTGATTCTTAAGTTGGTCTCATTTAAAGTTTGTTATTCAGTTTCTGGAATGTTATCTTTTTTTGGCCAGAATAGTTTCTGTAATGTTAGAAAAACATTAATATGGTGGCCTCTATATCTGTTTGCCATATAGTTCACTTGAACCTTCAACAAAAGAAGTACATATAGATTATGGAATGAAATTTACTTGCATTTGTAGCATGTGATGCTACCTTGGTTAAACTGTGCATGGATTTGTTGGCTTGAATCTTGTATTTTTAGTGTCAATGGATTTGGATCTTATTAAGCTGTAAGTTTGGGAAGTAATTTTGAAATAAGAAATGTCGGGAGAAAACAGGAAATAAGTAGAAAGATAACAAGTGAACCCTATACACAATTTCATTCTTTGTTGTTGCAGATGTTTAGCTAAGGTTTAATCACAAATAGATTATGGAATGAAATTTACTTACATGCATGCTCCCACTGGATAATGATTTGAAGTCTTTGCTTGTATCACATTCCAAAGAGTCAATCTTGATTTTGTTGCTTTTAGCTGGGAATTCTCGTAGTTTAGACATTGATTTGTTGCTTTCGATCAACCCCCAACTTGCCATCACAAGTGGGTAGATGATGATGGAATGGCGTCATGTATACAAGGTTTGCTTAAACCTTGACCTTTGTAATCAGTTCCTTATTCAAGAAAAAAGTCAATCTTGCTTTACATCATCATTGAAATTTGAGTTTTTGGAAAGTGGACCTTAGAACAAACATCCAGATGAACTTGAAATATCCCATCATGTTTTTTTTTTTTTTTTTGTGTCCTTTATGTTTTGCAAGTCAGTATCCTAATGTGTTAATGATTATTATTACAGGTTATCCAAGGAGATGTACTGCGGACGGAACTCCCTTATTTTGATATATGTGTAGCAAACATTCCCTACCAAATATCTTCTCCACTCACTTTTAAGTTACTCAACCACCAACCTGCATTTCGATGTGCAATCATAATGTTCCAGAGAGAATTTGCCATGAGACTGGTTGCTCAGCCTGGTGACAAGCTCTATTGTCGTCTTACTGTCAACACACAACTCCATGCTCGAGTTTTCCACCTTCTTAAAGTTGGGAAGAACAATTTTCGGCCTCCACCAAAGGTTGATTCCTCTGTAGTTCGAATTGAGCCCCGAAAACCCCGTATCGATGTTAAGCAAAAGGAGTGGGAGGGGTTTTTGCGGATTTGTTTCAACCGAAAAAACAAAACCCTTGGCTCCATTTTTAGACAGAAGAACGTCCTCTCTTTGCTGGAGAAGAACTACAAGACCGTGCAGGCATTAAAACTCTCACAAGGAGGTTCCGCAGAGGAAACAGAAGCTAAAATGGACTTATCCAGTTTTGGTGATTCTTTTGTGGATCAAGGCATGGATATGGATGATGATGATAATGATGACATGGATGCTGAGGGTGGGGATGCAGAAGAGGAGCAATCTGAATTCAAGGATAAGGTTTGGGTGTTCTGAAAGAAGGAGATTTTGAAGAGAAGAGATCGTCCAAGCTCACACTGCAGGAATTCCTTTACCTACTGTCTCTATTCAACAAAGCTGGATACACTTCTCTTGATTAGAGTAGATTCTTCAAACATGAATCTGAACGGTTATTAGCCATTTTTTTGAGGACATGGTTAGACTAGAATGAAGGGTCGAACCAGTTTTGCTGATTATTTTCAATTTCTTTGAGTGTATACCATGCGAGTATAATTTATAGCGGATTGGAGTTAGAATGGGGTTCTTTTGTATTGTTTTTTATGAGGTCTGTAAAGGCAGATAATTTGTGTTTTGTTTAAAACTTTTGTTCGACGTTTACAGTTACCCTTATCTTTGTGCTCTGATTACCAATATAATAGTTCTTTAAATCAGAGCTGATGATGAAGGCGCACTTTGTTCATATAAAATTAAACCGGCTTAATGATATTTATTAAATGTTATTTGTATTTAATTTGAATGCTATCCTTCAATTCTTGAATTTGTTTTGAAAAAAATTATGTTGCCAGAAACAAAAGGTACACATAAAAAGTTAAGTAGGTTGAGATTGGATGGATGGAACACATGAAGAAATGAACCCCTAGTGCGTTTATAATCGAATTTAGAAAATGAACGTATGGAATATTAAACTTCACACCATACCACAAAGAGAGGCCTATCTTCTAAAGTGTGTTGTTGAAAATTGATGGTTTGAGAGCCATTTCAATTTGTTGTATTTTCCCCCTTTTAAATTAGAAGGATAGGCACTAATAATTTAAAGTTATAAGCGAGATTGAATTTGCAACCTCGTACGTACAACAGAGTTTTCATACCATTAGGCTATAAGATTATTGGCCAATTCGGCAATTTGGTTCCATGGTTGGGGACAATCCATGATGATATTAAAATTGCTAACTAGCTTGCCTTCTTTGATATTATATAATCCAACAATTCCAATACACATTTATGTTAAGGAAAAATGCAAATGTGAAGAAAGTAATATGGAAAATTATAAAGTGTAAAGATGTGTGTTAAAAGCCCTGTAGAAAAGCCTTGAAGAATTTTCTACAAGATCAGAATGAGCCCAACAGATAACTTTCATGGTAAAAAATGACTATTAGCATTGATGATATGGAACAATTATTTACAGTCTTTGTCTTGCATAAACGACGAACATCAGACGCCAACAAGACTCAATTGGCATCCACACAAACAACAGATGACAAATACAAAACAACTATTAAGCCAATCAAATATTTACAGACATCTACCCTATTTCTACTATCCCCCTGAAGTTGAAACCATAGAGATTTATGGTGCCCAACTTGCTTGAGGAATTTCTCATGAGACTTTCAACCCAGTGCCTTAGTGAAAATGTCAGCTTCTCGATTTTCTGAATGAACATGCTGTAAATCTATTATCTTCTATTGTAGCTCTTCCCAGATAAAATGGCAATCGTTCTCGACGTGCTTTGTCCATTTGTGGAAAACAGGATTGCTGGCAGTGTGTATGGAAGCTTTGCTGTCACAACAGACACTTGCTGCCTTTCAAGATTTAATGTTCAAATCTTGGAGTAAACCAACTACCCAAACAGTTTTAGATGCAACAATCCTTAAAGCTCTGTATTCGGCCTCAACAAATGATTTAGAGACCATATTTTGCTTCTTTGTTTTCCACGAAATCAATCCATCTCCGAGCTTCAACAAATACTCAGTTACAACTTACGAGTTGTTTTGAAATGCTGCAAGATAACCCATTAGTATCACAATAACATGTAACATCAACGTCTTTTCTGGGGCTCAACAACACCAGGATCCTAGACTTTTCCACGAAATCAATCCATTTCTGTATTCACCAGGATCAGATAACAACTCCTCCTTCTTGTGTTTTCCTTCTTCATGTGCTACCAATTTTAAATGCTGTGGCATTGGTCTAGTGATTGGCTCACTTCCAATCATTCCTGTGTCAGAGAGTAAATCCAAAGTAGACTTTCTTTGACTCAAAACAATTGCTATCTCAGTCCCCAAAGATACTTCGATAGTCCCAAATCTTTTATTTTAAAATTACAGTTAAGAAGATTCTTAACATGTATGTCCTTTCTAGAGCTTCCTGTGATTAACATATCATCTGCACAAATCAAAACAAGGACTATACTATCACTAGTAGTTTTGGTAAATAGAGAATAGTCATGTTTGCTTTGTCTGAAACCTCCCTCTAACAGTGATTCAGACAACTTTGAATTCCACTGTCTAGAGGCCAATATTAGACCATAGAGGGATTTGTTTAACTTACATATTTTGTTCTCCCTCTTGCCGTGAAGACATTGAGGCATCCTCATATACATCTCTTCATCAAATTCTCCCTATAAAAAAGCGTTATATACATCCATTTGATGTAAATCCCAATCATTTTAGGCTGCAAGAGAAAGGACATTTCTTACTGTATCCATTTTTATGACAGAAGAAAAGGTCAAAGGTCTCATAATAATCATTCCCTTCTCTTTCGCTATGCCCCTTAGCAATAAGTCTAGCTTTATACCTTTCAATACTGCCATCAGATTTATATTTGATTTCATAGACCCATTTACAAGCTATAGGTCTTTTGCCTTTAGTTACGGTCACTATGTCCCATGTTTGATTATTCTCTAAAGCTTGTAATACAGTTTTCTTGGCTTCCACCCAGTTACTGTTTCTCATGGCATCCTCATAAGCTACAGGCTGCTTAGATATATAATCAATGGAACAACAACAGTAACAAACCTTTATCCCACTAGGTGGGGTCGGCTACATGGATTGCAAGACGCCATTGTGCTCTATCATTTATCAAGCTTTTAGGAATATTATTAATTAAGAGATCATGTTCAACAACTTCCAAGAGTGTTCTCTTAGGCCTTCCTCTACCTTTCTTAATCGGACTCAAAGTTATATGTTCCACTTTTCTCACTGGTGCCTCCCTTGGTCTTCTTTGTATATGCCCAAACCATCTCAACCAATTTTCTATCATTTTTTCCTCAATAGGTGCTACCCTCACTTTTTCGCGTACGTGCTCATTTCGAATTTTATCTTTACGTGTATGTCCGCACATCCATCGTAACATTCTCATTTCTGCTACTCCAACTTTATGCTCTTGCTGTCCCGTTAGAGCCTAGCATTCACTAATATATAACATTGCCGGTCTGATAGCAGTGCGATAAAACTTTCCTTTAAGTTTATTAGGCACCTTACGGTCGCAAAAAACTCCTTTAGCTTTTCTCCAATTAAACCACCCAGCTTGAATCCTATGTGAAATATTTTCACTGATTTTGCCATTATTTTGAATAATGGCTCCCAAATATCTAAACTTTTCCAATTGAGGTATAATTTGATCTCTCAATTTCACTTCCAAATTATTGTCGAATAGTCTCTTACCAAATTTACAATATAAATATTCCGTCTTACTCCTACTCAGACGGAAACCTTTCGACTCCAATGTCCTCCTCCATAACTTAAGTTTGCAATTAACCTCTTCTCTTGTCTCTGCTATAAGAACTATATCATCTGCGAAGAGCATACATTTGAGAATTTTCCCTTGAATATGTTCAATCAAAATATTTAAGATCAAGTTGAACAGATAAGGACTCATAGATGATCCCTGATGTAGTCTAATCTTTATAAGAAAATTCTTTGTTTGACCACTAGGCGTTCTTATACTAGTTTTTACCCTCTCATACATATTTTATACGGTTTTAATATAAGCAATCCGTACTCCCTTTTTTTGAACACTTTCCAAAGCACTGGAAGAAAGAAACAATTATAAGAAGATGAAACATTTGCATAAGAGATATGGTTTTGAATCGGATATTTGATGCTAGTATTTTCACATGTAGTAAAAGCATAGTCTTTTGCCCACACAGGTGGTTTTCTTTCTCTAAAGGGTCTTATTCTAGACTGCCCATATAATTGATTGTTTTCAATCAAGTTTGTTTGATTTTCATGATATGCAATCTCAGAGTTAGCATTTATATGATTTGTAGAACCACTAGTTTTTGCATACTCATACTTATTTTCTTCGGTGTATCCTAAAACAAGTCATGAATAGAATTATTTCTTTCTTTGTTGTCTATCTCAACAGCATTCTTAAAGGGACATTTATTTTCAATAAATCTAACATGTCTACTAATAAAAATATGTTTTGTTTTGAGATCAAGTAGAACATAACCCTTTTGATTATGGGGATACCCTACGAAAATAAAATAAACAAAACGAGATTGAAACTTGTCAGCAACAGTAAGATCAATGGCAAAAGCAAGTGAACCCAAAACTCTCAGTTCATCCAAATTGGGAATTTTTCCATATACCAACTCATAAGGGTTCTTAAACTGCAGAATCTTAGATGGTATACTATTAATGATATAGGTTGCCATTTTGACACACTCACCCCAATATTGAATAGGCATCGCTGATTGGATCATAAGACTTCTAGAAACTTGAATCAAGGTCCTAGGTTTCCTCTCAACCACTCCATATTGCTCAGAGTATGAGGGCATGTTGTTGAATTTTGTGTTTTGATGATTACACAACTAAGAGAAACAAGTTTGTTACTTGTGTAGATCAAGATGTTATTATCTTAAGTGATAAACCCTCAAGAGTATAAAGAATAAGAGAAAACTTAGCTTTAATAGGTTTATTTGTTTTAGCTTCTTTTAGAATTATATGTGAAAACTGTTTGAGAGCAGAATTTACTTTGCATGTTAAGAATGCATCATATTAGAACTTGTGTAATATTTGCCTTGACATTACTTGAACACATACAACCAACACACCTTATCATGATAATTAGGATTTGATTAACCATTTGGGGATTACCATGACAGAAAAGGTTTAACTACAATTTATAATTTAAAATATTTAAAAAGTTTAGAATCCTAAATAACCCTTTGAGCTTAAACATGTAGGAAAAACGGAGTACAAAACAATACGAAATTATGGCAATCAAGTACAAAAGGATAGAATATTAGAACATGGGGAAAATAGATATTTGCCTTGATTTTGGACAATCCATGATAGCCAACAAGTTTTAGGCCATGTGCCATGGCCAAAATAGCGGATGACATAGAGGCTATATTACTGACTATGTCATACAATGTGGCTTGGACACCATGCACCATGGCACATTATGTAATTCATGAAAGCCTCGTGTTGTCATGACAACAATCTAGAATGAAATTTTGGCGTGTATCATTTTTTTATCCAACATTTAATTGGAGTGATTCAAACACCCACATGTAGCTAATTGAACTACCTAGCTAATGGCATTGGCCTTACATCAAAACAATATCCCATTTAAAAATGGAATGATAAGGATAAATGACTCATCAACCTTAATGTAAAAGCCAAGCTCACAATAACTTGTGCACTTAATCATGCTAAGTTTGACCATGCCACACACTATTCAACGGCCAAGGAAAGGTGAGATGGATTAAGACAAGCTTGTGAAGGTATT